GCCACATGAACACAGATATAATCAAATTCTGTTTGGGGCATCATTTATTTAAAATACTTCAAGCTCCTTGCTGGCAGAGCAATAGCGAATTAGCATGCTATGCTGTGCACTTCAATTAAAAAGCAGCCTCATCTTTCCTATTTCCGAGGTATAGCAGAGCAAATCTAATTGTGCCATGCAGCCAGTTCTCATCTTTGGAGAGTAACCAGGGCTTTTGTTGTTGTTGTTGTTGCTTTGGTTTTGGTTTTTTGGGGAGGTTTTGGGGGGTTTTGTTTTTAGTCAATTTTTCTTCTTCTGAATGAGGCAATGTGGGCTTTTATGAAACTTGCCTCCTAATTGCAGGCAATAAACACAAACACAGCCACCATCAGAGGCTTTAGCAAGTACAGTCTAAGTAAAATGAAAATAAAGGTAAGAACCACAAAGCAAGTTCACTTTACATATGATCTAGATAGTTAAACCAACAGGATCTACATTTTGGTGCTTACAAGAGACATGTACGTGCCTCCTTCAATATAAACTAAAAAAAGCAAACAATCCCCCAAACCTGTAGCATAAACAGTGAGATAGGCAAAGATTTTTTACATTTTAGAGGTTAGAAGGTAAGACTAATTAATGAGAAATATTTATAAGACAGGATGTTATTAACTTTTAAAATATTTGCTTATAGCATAAAGAATCTCTGTTCTGAGAACTTTGCATGAGATATGTTTTTTTAAAAGTATAGAAGCATCCTCTGTGCTTTGGAAACTTAACTGATAGGTTGCTTTCAACCTGAGATCACTCTATCATACTGATCATCTAACCCCAAGTGAACAAGTGAGTCCTCGTGCTTCCTACTCACTTCCTATCTCTGGTATGAACAATGCAGTAGCTTTGGATAGGAATCGAGCAAGGAATTCACACATTCAAAGAAATGTTGGTCTGAATGGACTTCTGGAGGGCAGCTAGCCCAAGCTCCCACTTTGAGGTTGGCCATGGCTTTACCTGCCTGAGGCCTGGAAACTCCAGAGAAGGAGAGTACACAGCTCTACTAGACAAAACATTTCTGTGCTGCACCACCTCCTTGGTGATTTTTTTCTGATGTCCTATCTGAAATGTTCAGCCTGCAATTTGCAGCCATTGCCCCTTGCTGTATCATCTGACACTACAGAGAATCATCTTTCCCTCTGTAGAGCTACTCTTCCAGCATCTTTGTTACTACCTTTCAAGCAGCTGTAGGCTGCTCTTTTCTTCCCTCCATTGTTTTTCACTCCCCATCTGGCCAAGGAGACTCACTGATAGTTTTGAAGACTTCAGACATCACTTCTCCTAGTCACTCTTATTCTAACAATTCTAGTTATATGCACATTACACTTGGTAGACCTGGGGTTTCATCTGACCTACAAAGAATGACACAAAACTTAGCAGGAA